GTGGCTCGTTCTGAACAACAGAATGTCGGTGCTACCTAGGTTGTGTGTTCGCCAGGTCGGTTCGTCCGTCCGTCTGTCCACACGCCCGCCCGCTCGCCTGTCGATATGACTATCAAACAGTGTGTCCGTGTTAAAAGCTTATCGACCGACGATCGATGCAGCAGCCGTATGCGGGAGGTTAAGCACAATCGTGCGAGGACGAAGCTTCGAATCTCAACTCCGGAACGGACAGACGGAGGTTTCTTTCCTCTCGAACACCGTCTCAGGGAACAGGCAGTCCTCATGTTCGATGTTCCGGGTTCGTCTCTCGTACGGTGCTCTGAGCTTTCGAACTCCGCTCTTTTCTACGAGAGCCATTCGGAATCCCGAGCTTCTGACCTGTTTCCGTTTTTTTCGCCTCCGCGAACATCGAGTTCCATCAATAATTCGTCTTCGTGGAATCTCGCCGGGTTCTGAGAACAACTTCATGCGACGGAATGATTTCCGGCGATTACTCCCCTTCATCGAGAGTGGCAGAGCCGAACGCCAAGATGCACTAGGGTGGAATAATCGCTTTCCGTGTAATATTGCATGTGAGCAACGATCTCGTACACGGAGCATTCTCCCCATTATTCGGACCTCTAATGAAGCCGCTCCCACCGCGAGGCATCACCTGATCGTATCAGCTAAACCAACAGCCGCCCGCATCGTAAGGAAGAATCGATTCACGCTCATCCCGTAAATATTGCATAATCCTTCGACCGGATTTTCGAAGCTAGACGCTTCCTCACCGCAATCCGCGTGACTCGATGTTATGCATAGATAACTCGGGCTGGCGTACGAGCCAGGTCCGGAGGAAGCCGCTTCGACCCTTGCGTCCTTCAAGGGCTCCCGGACCGGCGGGGGATTCATTGTGCGGAGCAGCCATACGATCGACAAAGTATTGCGCTGCACGGTTCCACATCGTCTCATAATTGCGGCGAGGTCCGAGCGAAAACCGCCATGAGGACAAGGCGAAGAGTTCCAAGCACGACGCTAAAACGTGTCTCGCACCGACACCGACCATTCCATCATCTTATGATTACGTCGAGCCTCAACGAATCATCGGGGACGGGGGAATTCTCGTCCTTCAAGGGGTTCGCGAAGTGATTTATTGTTGTACAGACCCGCTCCCTTTACCTCACCAAGACCGATAAACTAATTGAGGCTCGGGAGCGCGGCATCGGAATAATCTTTGCGAAACCCTATTATTTTGCGATTATTGAAACGAATGGACCCAAACGCGCGGACGCATGGAACAAAATATCGGATCTTCAAACTATTGATATATTTTCGAGCCTCCGCCACGGATCCTATCGATGCTCTATATTCTGCCGAGGCAGCTCAGGCGTCTCGAAGTCGGCGAGGTGGCGGCTGAACAAGCAGCTCGTCCTCATTCCCTATCCGTCATGGATTCTCTGTCGATCCGTTCCCAAACTCTGAGCATGCGTGCGGCTCGTTCAGTGGAGCTACCCACGTGCGGTGCGGAGCTCGACAAAGGAGCTTTCCTTCCGCTTATATCGAAAATCCTCTCGATCCGGCCGGAAGTCTCTACCTATCGAGAGGATGATACGATCCCGGATGCCGAATCGTTATAATTCCGACGATATTCTAGCGGTATGCTCCGACTTTTTCGGCGCTCGTATGGGTCCGAAGGTTTGTTTACCTCGGGGAGAATATAAGGCAGCTCCAAGCGTCTGAGCAGCGCATGGTCTCTGCTGGACACTCGAAATTAAGTTTTCCAACTCCATAATGGCTCACAGCGATGCTCTCGGCTTCGCCTGCGAGCACAGAATCCCAGCGAATCCTGACGACGAGGCGGTTCTCAGAGCGAATTATCAAGACAAAGGATGAGGCGGTCATTATCCGTCGAAGTTGTTCTCAGAAGTAATCGTTCACCGGAGCAGCACGGAACCATGGAAGAAAATGGATGACCTCACTACAAAATGGAGGCTCCGCCAAAACGGAGAACAAGGATGACTGCGATATTCGACCCGGAGCGCATTTCAATGCACGCCCGTCCGAACGAAGCGTCCAAGCTCGACAGAACACATTTGGGGATTCTTGGTGTTGCGCCGAACTCGAGATTTCTCTCAAAGCTTTCCCGGTCCGAAGTTTGCGCGAATGTGAGACCTTTACGATGTGGCTTTAAAAACATCGGGCAGAGGAATACTCCGAATTCATGGACTTCGACAGAAATCTGCTCAAACTCTTAAACAACTCACACTCTCCAGAACTTTTTCGGAAGAAGCGACGGAACCTTCCCCGCCGACGCGCGTTCTCCTTACTTTTTCCCCAGCAAATCTTTCGAGGAATTCCCACATGTTCTCGCACTTATTCAAATCAGCTCCGGGAATCCCCTTCAATCCACTCTGACGGATGTTTCGCTTTTTAGAAGCTCTCTCGGAGAACATGTTTTCTCCGAGAATTCAATATTCGAGGGAATGTCATCCTGAAATAATTCCCCGAGCACTTATCTTGACGCCGAGAGCCCAATGCTTTTTAGTCGGCAGGAACCTGGCGTCGTGGCGTTCCAATCGATCCTTACAACAGGAAACAGACCTGGGATTCATCGGATCGGTCTGTTGCAGTGAGTTCATTCGGAATTCCGAAAATGTGGCTATTTTTGTCAATTTCACCACGCTTTCGTGGAGTTTGCCACGATAGCGGTTATTGTTCGTAGTGATTACGCTGGTTCCGAGCAAGCGGCGCCAAGAGCCGAATCCCATCCTCTCATTCGAACGATCTAATAGTTTTTGCACTTCACGTGACCATCGCACTCTCGTTGTTCCATTTATTGTTCAGGGAGTTCCGGTTATTGTTGCTGCCGACATCGTTGTCGTTCCGTATCGCGACGGGGTAAATACGTGCAACACTCTTAATTAGAGCAGCGGGTACACAATCTGCGACGTTGGTAATTATTATGGCAAACTGCGATTAATTTAGAAGAGTCGAACGGACCCACCATCGAACATTCGGTCCAACCGTCCGTCGGACCGACCGATAGAACCGCCACTACTACCATCGCCGTCACCGCGACCGTCGATGAACGGACACACGGACGGGCGTACGGACGAGCGAGCGAGCGAACAACTCCGCCCCGCAACGTCAGCTTGATCAGCGCAAACCAAAATCCCCACCAAACTTTGACGTGGTCCTCGTGGAGTTTGACTAAGCCCGCGTCGTTTCCGCCTCCACCGCCATCGCTACCATCGAAGTTGACTTTCGGGCTCTCGCCAGAATGACGAAAAAATCTACGTGATATCCTCGTCGGACCCACGTGGTTTCCAGCTTTAATCCCCGAGCTAGGAGGCCTTCCGAAATTAAATCCATGGATTGGTTTTGCCCTTGCGTCGAGCAGACTTGAAACTTCGTTTAGGTCGGAGGCGATTCTCTTTCGATCGACTCAACGGAAGGGGTCAACGGAAGACGCGTTGATCGAACGGTGGCTGTTCGATGGGATTGTTTGCGTTCCATTCGGATTTCATTAGCGTGGAGTCCGGACTCGGACGGCGGATCTCATTTCGATCATCTCGTGATCATCGGTGGCGCGACGTCATGCGCGTGGTTGTTTGCCAATCTCTTCAACGACCCTTTCATCCCTCAATCGCGAGACTTCATGCCTCGGAAATAGCAGTTCGGCACGCATCCCTCATGCTGATTGAGTTTGTTGGTGTTTAATTACCGCCAAGCGATCCCAATATATTCTGACAAAGCTCTCCGCAATGTGGAGAGCTTCATTGAGTCACCAATCAATCGGGGGTACGCTCAGAGCGAATAGAACAGCTCCTAATGACTTTTGGGAAAATCTCAGCGTCAGAATCGAAAGCCCGGGGTTGCAGCTCTCGCAAAAGACGTGTCACCGGCTCCGGATCGCTTTGTTTCCGGAAAACTTAGTAGCTGCACAGGGATCTTTTTTGCAGCTACATAGAGCGACGCGAGCTAAGTGGCCGAAGGATCGATATCCATAGCAAACAATTGGAATCGTCCTCGTACAGAGTTCGTAAAACAAACAAATAGGGCTATAGTGGGTATCTCTGCGCCGGAGGATGAATCGAAACAGATCGACTCCGATTCCAAGTTCCACTTCTGAATTACGACCCTCAGGTTTTGACTCTGAGCCCCGCGCAACGAATTCTAAAATTCAAGCCGAGCCGATGACCTCGCACCTCGCGGCGACAATTCACCAGCAAGAGAGGATCGGAACCTTCGTGCCTGGCTCGATTTCGATCCTTGTTTTCGCAGCTGCTCGTCCGACAATGGGAAAACCATATTCGAGGAAACAAATTGGTGGATTTCGCGCGAAACTTCGAATCCGAGCCCATGTTCCCCATGATCCACATGTTTCTCGTGATTGGTGAATCCCGCTGATTTTCGTGCGATTTCACGGTAGACCGTTGTCGGGACTTTTGATTCCGATAACGATGTCAAGCGTCCGGGCCCGGTCTAACTTTGGCTCTGCTCGCTCACTTTTCGAGTCGAGATAAGTCCGCAGCGACGGATGCCACTTTTATCTTGAAATCCTCCACCAGGCGTGGGCGTACTCGGGGTTGACGGACGATTCCGTCTCGCTCTCTTGCTATCTCTTCATTCATCCATCTATCGTGCTCCTCCGGATGACAGAGGTGTTCGACAACTGGCTGATGACAAGCTCGCTCGCGGAGTTCGATCTCTCCGGAGCTCATGATTTTCTCCCGCGTTCTGCGAGAACAGAGTTCCCGCGCGGGCAATCGCCGGGGAAGACGTCGAGGAGCGCGAGAAGTTAATAGACGAGCACTGTTGTGACAGGATGTCAAACGGAGCGGGAGAACGAATGTCATGACAGACGAAGTCCAGAAAACCCAGAGGCTGCTGAGCTCGGTGCCGACAGTGTCGATTCATCGAACGCGCTGGCGTTCGAATTTACGGCGCGACTCCACCGATGAGGGAGACGGTAGGGGAGATGTCGTCGAATTTTTAAGCCTGAGTCGTCGTTCACTCACCTGAATGTCAGAACTGTGAGCGGCCTGAAACTCTTGTGCGATGCCGGACTCGACATCGGCGTTCCCCAGAAGTCGTTCGTCCACAACGAGTACCAATCTATGCCGGGATCGCTGTTGACAACGTCCGGATTCCTAACGATCGCAACGATATCGTCGTGAACGAGTTCACCGTCGAGCGCCGCATTCGGAGCCCACAAACCGAAACCGTCGAAACAGAAGCACAGAAACGTCACACTCGCCGCAGCGGCTGCGCAACACACCCGGTCCCTCCACGGGGAAGGTTTAGGGTGGCGCATCGTTTTATGCCGCGTTTCAGTCACTCGCCGCTGCATGAACTTGAACTTCCACTTCATCATGTTTCACCACCACTTCAAAGAGTTCCACAAAAAGCAACACAACTCGAGAGCATGGGATGAGCTCAACCCCACGGTCGCACATCCTCCCTCGCCGAAGTGTGGACCGCATCTGAGCGGACTCACTTCGAGAGCGAGTCCTCGTCTGCGGCCAAAAGAGGAAACTCCGGCGCTGGGGTCGACCCCCGCGCATGCTCTCAGAGCTTACCACCAAAAGGTACGTTGTCGCCGCCGTCACGACCGCCACCTTTGCAGGCATGGAGCCGACGTTACGTTCGCAGTCTCATCGAAACGAGCGGAAAATCCGTGAGTGATCCGCGATGCGTAACAAGGAATAGCGCGACGAAGTCACCGGGAACGAGGGCGCTCCGATTCGTGGTCCGGGTCAGGACCCACGACGACGGAGAGAAACGCGATTGGTCCACCGAGGGTCACAAAGGGTGTCCGATTTCCAGCACATATTATTATGTAATAATCGTCCGATACCCTCATGGTGATATTATAGCGATAAGTTGATCTCGTTGTGGCTTTGAGGCCCTGCTGCCGTGTCGTTTCCGTCGGAATGGGCTCGAGGAGACACTCCTCTCTCGGGACGAGTCGAAAACGAACGAGTCGGGAAGTGCAGCGGCGACTTCTCGCGAGCACTGATGCGACATGCGAGCAAATCAGTGGAATAGCGACAGAGCGTCTTATTCGCATCCGCGACGAGCACGATGCGAGAGCCGAACGATCATGCTTGTCACAACGAGACCTCCTGTCTTAAATGGGATTGTGTCCGTGCATGCCCGGCTGCCAAGCGATTCCCCCGCTTGACGGCTGTCCTACCCGTCGTACGGCTGCAGTACCGGGAGCGTCCTCGTGGCCTTTTCTCGTACTGCCACTCTTCGTTTGGTGGAGCTTCGCGCTTGTCTCGTTCATTTCCTTTTGTCGCTTTCCGGGCTCCTACTTGTTTCCGACCTCCTCCTCGCTCGACTCACTTGTTCAGTTTCAGGACAGCTTCTGAGCGAGTGAGAGCGTAGCAAATCGAAAAAGTCACCGTACCCTTCAGATACAGCGTGAAAGATGCACAAAAGAAATTCGGCAGTTGGCAGGAGAACTGGCAGACAGGCGGGGTAGGCACAAAGGCAGAGCACATACCCGCGGAGAGAAAACGGCGGACGGCAAGATAGACGGATTTCCCGTGTCATCCTGCCGCACGAATTCGAAACCGACCAGAGCCCATGATCTGCTGCTTGTTTCGAATAATTCGTGTGGCAGGCTGAGGGAAGAGCTGCGAAGGGCAGCACAGGTACAGATACTCCATGTGAAGCACATTTCGCGGAACGGCCTCCGAGTCAGAACTTAAACGAGCGTAGATCGCCTACTCGCGGGAATATCCCTCCCCCGAATAAATTTACTGATTCGATGAGCGAGTGATCGTGGCTTAATGCAGAAAAAAAAAACCGTGCTTCGTTTGAATCAAAGCCCCCGTCTGGAAACCAGGAGCACCGTTCCATTAAAGGTTGAAGCACCCTGAATCACTTGAGGATCCGGTCGACGGTCGAGCTGTCAGGGCGGAGATGAGAGGATGACCGCTAGCTAAAAGTCCGATCATTCGGTTTGGTGCGTTTACGTGGCCATATTTATGCTAGTGCTTTGTTATTCACGACGACTCATGGAGACGTACCGGGGCCAGGTCCGAAGTTTATGGGGTAACTATTAGAATCGCGATGTGAATTTTTGACCAGGCAATCTTCGCCGTATGACTCTATCTCCAGTCGATTGTTCGTGGGGGGGGGCGGTTTGGTCGAAGAGCACGAATGCTACAAGAGTCCACGTGTGCCAATGAGCGTGGGCGTATTGCTCTATACATTTGTTCCCTCCGATGGATGCAGCCACTCAAACCATCAGCTGAGCACCAGATGGACTCTAATTAGATTCCGCGCGCGATAGGACCTATCCCCAATCGCGCCTAACTCATAGGGTCGGCATGTAGAGAATCGCATTGAATGTTGTTCCGGAATCTCGGGGAATCGTGAATCGGCAGTTTCCCCGCGGAGGGACGAGTCGAATCGCGAAGCTCTCACTCAGAGATACCCGAAATCAATCTTCAGAGTTCCAGAGTCCATAGGCGAGCACTTTGAGGTCGGATTTCCAATGAGGGTGTTCTGGAAGCCGAGCACGTTCTCATGAAGCCAACACTCGGCGCCTAAACGGTCGGATGTTGTTCGTGTTGGTTTGGAATGACTCACTCTTGCAGTCGGTCATTCACCGAGTTCCTCTCGAGGTGAGAGTCGGTCTGAGCTGGTTATGCCTATCGAATCTCTCGACTACTCGGAATGACTTCAACCCGGCGTTCCGAGGCTTAAGTTGTCAGACTTCATTAGTATTTAGAGAACGGTGGAGGCACTCTCTTCTTCATTTCAAGAAATCACAGCGCCGTGACCAGCAGCGTCGAGGAGGGCTCACCTCAAGTCACGGGGGACCGAGGACGCATATATGTTGCCACTGAGAGCGAAGGAATGGGCTTTATACATGGGGACCGCAGCAGCGGGAAGTGTGGCTGATCTGTTGCTGGCGATGCGAACACGCACCCGACGAGACTGACAGCCGAGCAGGCGGATAGAGAGGCTTAACGAGTCAGAATGGAACTCCTCTTGATCGTAATACAAACTCAGAACGCGAGAGAAATACTCCGCGAGCTGTTGACCGTTCCGTTCGACGAGGAATTCGCGAGCTATTCGTTGAACTCGAGAGAGCCTTACGTCATGGAAGCTCGATCGTGACAGAACCGTTCGTGTTCAGATCGGGGGGAGATGATCAGCGATCCGTTCGATATTTTGAAGGCCGTCGAGGGCCTCTGCAACGAGAGAACTGGACGTTCGATTCCTCACTAAACCTAATTGGCAAGCATTGCTTACGCCGGCATTGACAGTTTTTGCGTCGAGTAATTTCCGGCTGAGGGTACCTAAAAACCTCTCGATAGATGTCTTCGGATGTTCCCCTGAAGGCGGTCTCAACAGACGAGAGAAGGAACTAGCTAGGGGAAGAAGAGTCGCAGTCGTCGCCGGGCGCGAGCAGCCAGAGGCGACCACTCAGTCAGTCGTTAGTGTTTCGACCTTGATCGAAATCGGGAACCATAGGTCGTAGTTGCGGGGTCTAGTCACTAATCGGACCAGATAAACTGTCACGTTTATTGTAGAACTGTAATGGAAAGCTCCTATCGGACTTGGGAGAGGTGCCTAGATCCCGCCGAGGAAAATTCATCCGCGTGGACACTCCTGGAGTGACTCGACGCCTATGGACGGGGAGCCGGCCCACAGTGGTCGGAAACCACGGAAAATCATAACTTCTGAACGGCTGGACCGATTTCGCTGAAATTTTTATGGTGGGTTATTGGGCCTAAAACCCAACTTTTGAGAATATAACTGGGTCTGGGTTTGACCCCGGTGACCCCTAGAATCGAAATTTTTTCACTAAATCGGCGATTGCGGCTAAACGGCTGAACCGATTTCGGATTTCTTGGTGGCGTTGGAAAGCTGAGTAAATTTCGCATCTTTTTGCCTCTTACGAATTTGACCTATGACCTTCCGTAAGCGAGCTAGCGGCCGATTCTTAGAGGCGCCGATATCTCCACGAAAAATGCTTCGTTTTTAACTCGCAAAAAAACGATTCGGTGTGGAATTGGATGATCTACCCGTTTCTGACAATATTACAGTCATTTAGTAAAGACGAAAAAAAATATTTTTTTTCAAGTCAAAAATCACGTTTTTTTGCGGTTTTTTCACGAAAGTGCCCCACCCCTCTAGGTCCGTAGACCCACCAACATTTTTTTATGATGCCCCTCACGCCCCCGCATCCCGTGATGCCCATATTGGGCACCCCTTCCGGGGTTATCTACCTTTAAATCCGGAAAAACCCTTAAAATGGCAATTTTTCATAGAAAAAAATTTCTGAAAATTAATTCCAGGGCTAAAAATTCGCTGGATCGGCTTCATTCTTGTAGAAAACCGCGAAAATCAACTCAGAACTTCGAATCCGCCGCCAGCGACGCCATCTTTGGCGCCAACAGCGCCGCCATCTTTGGCGCCATTCGGCGGCCTCATAAACAACGCGCGGGACGGTCGATTCGCCACACGTGTTAGTGCTTGTGCAGTTCAACGGTCGGAAACTCTTGCGATGAAGTCCTACATGCTTGTGATACCCTACGGGGACCTTATGGACTTCTTCCTATCGAATCAATTCGATCTGGACCTCATCATGGAAGATATCCAGCATCGGTACCACATGATCCATCAAGACGATTTCAAGGAGTTCAGAGCACACTTGAGCAAGAACATCCTGCCGAACTTCACGAAGAGGTAGGAAAGACAACCGGTCGCTGCAGAATCAAGTTCGGCAAGAAGTACCAGGAGTGGTTGAAGAAGTATCTGCTCGTGAACGTTGACGTCGATGAGTCCCGGGAGGCTCCTTGAAATCGTCTTGATGAATCATGTGGTACCGATGCTGGATATCTTCCATGATGAGGTCCAGGTCGAATTGATTAGATAGGAAGAAGTCCATAAGATCCCCGTAGGGTATCACAAGCATGTACGACTTCATCGCAAGAGTTTCCGGCCCTTGAACAGCACAATGGCGCCAAAGATGGCCCGAACGGCGCCAAAGTGGCGCCGCGGCGGCACCAAAGATGGCGTCGCTGGCGGCGAATTCGAAGTTCTGAGTTGATTTGCGCGGTTTTCTACAAGAATAAAGCCGATCCAGCGAATTTCTAGCCCTGAAATTAATTTTTAGAATTTTTTCTCTATGAAAAATTGCCATTTTAAGGGTTTTTCCGGATTTAAAGGTAGATAATCCCGGAAGGGGTGCCCAACATTACCTTCATGGGATGCGGGGGCGTGGGGGGCATCATAAAAAAATGTTGGTGGGTCTACGGACCTAGAGGGGTGGGGCATTTTCTTGAAAAAACTGCAAAAAAACGTGATTTTTGACTTGAAAAAAAATATTTTTTTTCGTCTTTACTAAAT